GCTTTCACCACTGCTCTCACCGTCTTTAAAATATTGTGCCATCTGCCATAGCCGACGGGCTTGAAGCAGGGGGTTGCAATAAAAGGAGAGCAAGCGTGAAAGTACATGGGGAGGCTGTATCGCTGATGCGAATGGGCAAAACCTTTTCTGAATAAAAATTGGAAAAAGGCTTTTGGGTTTCGGAAGTGGAATCTGGTGTTCTTGTTCAAACTCGCTTTTATGTTCGGAATTCTTAATATCCAGAAATTTTTCAATTGTTTGATTTTCATGTTTTGCTTTTTTGCTGCGCCATTTTGCCAACATTTAATACATTCCAGAAAAGTGTAGCACTATTAATGCTGAAGATGTTCTCACCGCCTTAGGGGTATAGTTAGGATGATGGAATGGTAGAAGCTCCTTATCCAAGTGATTAAATAAGATCAAAGGGCACGTGTCGAAGATTGAGTTGACCTTATCCTTTGAATTTATGAGTTCATTGATACCTGAATAAAGAAATTATGTATTCCTAAAGATATGTATCACTGATAATAGCGCCATCTGCTCTCTTATGCTGCGATTGCTTGCTAATTAGCTCCATCAAACTTCTACGCCGTTGACCTCTGGAAGCTTGCTCGCACGATTTGTGGAAATTCATTGCACTCAAGTCGAGGCAGGGCTCAGCGTGCGTTGATGTTGAAGGAATCCTTCCCGGAAAATTCTTGCATTCTTTCCTCAACATGAATATGTCAGTTGTGATCACTAGAGACAACACACAAAGTTTCACGCATGAAGATTCGGTTTCCGAAGAGAAACAAACTTACGAAAACCACACTCTATGGACAGTCGAAGGTAGGTCGCGCGGAGCCAAAGGCGGGCATGGAAAGAAGTGCGCCTTGGGGCGGCTACGTATCAGGCGACGCAATAGAACGGATAAAGCGTTCGATTTTGGAGAAATAGAGACAAAGACGATAGAATAGGATGCAGTAGAAGTGTGAGATGTTAATGCAATAAGTCAAAGGCCAGAAAGAGTTTCTAGTGACGGCACTCCAAGAACCAAGTGGAAGCGTTCCCGTCGCCAGCATTTGTGACAGATGTCCGGCGGGAATTTGAACGCGTAGCAGCCCTTTCGGTTTTTCGAATTTTTACCAAAACAAATGCAATTTTTTGTTCTTTTCGTTCTTATCGTGAACGATGGGTCTCAAGCCAGTGATTTATGGCTGAGATAGAATCGCGATTTTTCGAGAAGGATTCCTTTAGTTCGCATTACGACTTAGGAGGGTCGTGCTCAGCAAAGTGAGGTCGTATTCTTAGGAGCCTAAGCTAAAGGAAATTTTTTGAAATATCGGTAGATTTTCCTAAAATTTTGAGAAATTTTGAAAATTTTGTCTTTCCAAAATCTACATAGACTTCCTTTCTCAATTTTTTGAAGGCGTAATTGTTGAGGAATGTTTCAAATGGGATTCGACAGCATTACCTAACCCACCCATCGCATTCATTCGCATCACTCCTAATAGCTCGTAATCCTATTCATTCGTGTATCTTATAAGTCTTCAAAACCACCTTTTTAGTTCCCCGGACGATCGACACCCATTCCATCTGTTGAGGTGTTCCGTCCAACAGCATACACTACGTCGGCCAGTCATGAAGTAAGTCTACGTTTGCAATGCATCTCGCTGTAGCCAATCAGACGATTCGGCACTTACCGCAGAGTGGGAACATTTCTACTGTGCCCGCGTCCTCCCTTTCAGGTCCGTTACATCCCAATGTATGCATTCCTTTCTTTAACTCCACGGTCCTATTAAGGCCATGCTCTAGATTAGTAGATTTTTCTGATGTCACCCATGTGAAAGGTACTATCAAGCCGTAGATGATTTTGAATGTGCTTTTTCATTTTGATGGGTTTAGCAAAAACTGGCAACTGACATAGCATCGAATATGGAGGAAAGTGTTCCTTTTCTGCTTTCCCTCCCACCCCCTCTAGTCAAAGACTCGTGCAAAACATAAAAAAAAACTCGGTAGTCGGAAGAGTCAAATCCAAAATAGAACCTGTATGCTCGCTCCACGCAAGATAATAGATTGCTGCGAAGCCGCATACGCTCATTAAGCCGATGAAGAAACGCTCAGACATGGCCTAAACGATAGAATTAGTGAATTGAGCAAGAATAAACAAAGGAAACGACAAAGCATGAGTTGGGATCCACACCGAATTACTCATAAACAAACAAGGTGAGGATGGTAGAGCGGTTGCTCGCAAGGAAATTTATGCTGCTGACGTGTTTCTGAATACTCACTGCGAATTTTCCTTCTATACAAGGTCAGGCGTAGGTCTGCTTGAGTTGAATCAGTGCACAAAGCCTTGTTGCGTTCATTTCACGCACAAATGCTTCATGTGTGGTCACTACTTGAAACCTTTCTACTTTTTCC